CCACATCAGGTTGCTCAGAGCCCCGTCCAACCTGGCCTTGAATGCTTCCCGGGATGGGGCCTCCACTCTGGGCAACCTGTTCCAGTGCTTCACCACCCTCATTGTAAAGAATTTCTTCTTTATATCTAGACTAAACCTAGCCTGCTTTAGTTTAAAACCATTACCCCTTGTCCTGTGGCCCTTCCGCCGAGCCCCTCGCCTACCTGGGAGGGCACAGGGGCCTGCACGCAGCACAGCTTCTTGATGGCGTTGTACAAATCCTCCCGGCTGCTGGAGATTATGCACAGGAGCAACTGCACCTTGTCCTGCGGGGAAGCACAGCAGGGGAGGGCGATGCACGAGCATGGGATGCACGGGGATCCGAGAGGACCCACCGGCTGCACAGCCCTCCCCGGCGGACACATTAACCTTGTGCTAACCCCCGCTATCAAACCCCAAGCCCCCCCTCCTCACCTCACTACCCAAAACGCTTTGGATGGTCTTGGCGTAGGTCTCGATGCGGTCGTCCTTCAGCTCCACCAAGGCGGGATGGCTGACGTGCATGCCGAGGGGGCCACAGGCGCTCTCCATGGCGGCCACCAGATCCTTCGCCAGGCCGTGCAGGCGCTTCGGGTAAACCAGCAGCCAGTAATTCACTGCAGTCTGAAAGCCTTCAGCCTCTCCAAGAAGAGGTGGGAAAGCAGCCGCCGCGGCCACGTACCTCTAACATCCTTAGGAAAAACAGGCTGAAGCACAAAGCCAATATAAATAAGGGAAGGGTTTTAGCTCGAACAGGCTCAGACGGGAGCGGGACAGACGGGATGCCAGCACTAAGAAAACCCATCCCAGTTTTCAAACAAGGGGATGTTGTTCCAAGGGCTGAGCCAGGGGCTCACCGCCGAGATGGAGGCTTCTCGCACGACCTCCTTGTTCCAGGTCAGGTCCTTGGCAGGGATGAAAGAGCTGTGCCGCAGATTGATCCTCTCCATGGGGAGAACTCGGCCCTGGGTCTAAACAGAGCAGAAACCCGTGGCAGTCCCAGTGCCGCCGCGGTGCAGCCATTGCTGCCGTTCCCAGGCGGGGAGCTTGGAGCCCGGCCCCCCCCCCCCTCCCCCGCCCTTACCCTGTAGATGTCGGGGTCCAGGCTGAGCCCCCAGCGCATCAGCTCCCCCGAGGCCTCCGGGCTGTCCTTGATCCTGCGCAGGAGGCTGGTGAGGCGCGCGTAGTGCTGCCTGGGGCTCTGCAGCATCTCCCGCATCACATCCTGCAGCGGGTGGGCAGGGGGGGAGGCAGGGGGGGGAACCCCCGGGTGCGATGGGGCGGGGGGTCCAAGCTCCCCTCGGCAGCGGGGCTCTGCCCCAAACTGGGCAACGCTGGCTCGGGGGAGCAGGGGCCCTCCGCGAGCTCCGGCACGAGCAGGACCATGTCCAGCTGACGCTGCAGGGAGGGGGACAGGCACCATCAGCACCCCGAGGGGGCTGCAAGCCCCTGCCCCCCCCAGCTACGGGCAGGACCGGGGCTGGAGGAGCCAAGAAGAGACCGTGGGTCTCAATTTCCCCTCCCCAGGTCTCCATGCCTGGCTCACCTTCCCCTCCGGTGTCTGTTTTTCCTTGGGCCTGTGGACAAGCAGCGGCTGGTCCAGCTCCCTGATGGTGATCCCATAAGTTTTGCTGGAAAAACAGCAAGGAAATGGCATCGGGTGAGATGTTCCTGCTCCGGCTCATCCACCTCAGGTCAGAGCCAGGCATCAAGCCCTTCCCCGTGGACAGACGCTCATCCCAACGGATGCCCCGGCAGATCCCTACCTGTAGTAGTCCACGAAGGTGATGTCCTCGCCACTGGCCAGGGTGAAACTGTCCCTTGGGGTCTTGTTCCAGTCGATGTCGTCGATGCGGTAGGTGCGGTTGTTGTAGCGGGTGATGACCACGTTGCCCACCAGCTTCTTGGTGCACTCGTCCTGGAAGCTGCTGAGGCTTTGCTGGTAGATGGTGTGCCTGTGGCGGGGAGAGAGGGAGGAGGAGAGGCTCCCAGCGACGCTCCCTGCCCGCGCTACCCCAAAAATCAAATGCCTTTTGCCAAATGGCACTGGTGGCTGTGGGTCCTTGCCAAGAGCCAGCCCTGGGCACGTAGCTGCTGGAAAACCACCCTCATCCCGCAGGGCTTCTCCAGGCTTTTTCCCTTCTCTTACATGAAATTCAGGACGGAATCGCTGCGGATGACTTTGTGGATGGCGTCGACCAAGAGGAAGAGGCCGCCATCCTTCTTCCGGATGTTGACCGAGTATCCTGGCCAAATCTGCAGCCTGTGCTCGGAAGGAAAGATGCCCAACGGCGCCTGGGTTAAAACCGGAGCCGCCCACACAGCGCTGCCAGAGGAGCCGGGCAGCCATCCCGCTCGCCAAGGAGCGCTCAAAACACACGGGGATTTATTTTCCAGCTGGCTGCCAGCTTTCAGCTAATAACCCCTGAACTGCACGGCAGAAAACAGGCGCTCTGAGGTCAGGCCAACCAGAGCTGGCCAAGAGAGCTGACCTGGCAAAGGCTTCCGAATTTCCAACCTCGCGCTACTGCTGGGGAGACAGGGACATCCCCATCTCGCACTCACGTGCTTGGGCACCAGCAGGAGGAAACCATGCCCAGCACCCACCTGTAATGCTGTAATACGGTGGCCTGGTCAGGTTCAAAGAAATTTCTCCTAACGAGCTTCATATCTAAGATTCTCATCACCCTAGGGAAGAAAAAACAAAAGCAGGATGGGCTCAGGCTCAGAGGGAGGAGGAGGAGGAGGAGGGTCTCCTCGCCGGAGCTTGAGGAGGGTCTCTGCCATTGCTCACCTCCGGAAAACCACGTTGTAAAAGGGGATGCAGAGATCCGAGCTGGGCTCGAGGACCTTGGTTATCTGGATGGTGATGGTGATCTCCTCCCCATCGCTCCTCCTCTGAGCCTTCAGACTGACAGTCTGCGGGGTGAGACGGCGCGTTAGCCATGCTGGGAGGGATGCTCTCCCACCCAGCATGTTGACTGGAGACCTGGGGGGGGAGGGGGGGGAATCCCCGCACCCCCAAATTGGCTCGAACAACCTCAGGCCGGTGCGGATCACATCACCCCTTACCTGGGGGAGCAGGATGGGCAGGTAGAGGATGGAGCCATCGAAAGCGGTCACGTCCCCCGTCACTGCCCGGTGCTCCTTCAGCATGGCGAAGCGCACGCTCCTGCACTCCACCTCGGGGCTGCCGGAGACAGGGACACATCGCCTGCTGCTGCTGCCAAGTCCTTGGTCTTTTAACACTCCCATTTCCCCCCAGCGAGACCCCGCTCAGCACCCCAAAAACCCCAGGAGGGGGAAAAGCTGGAGCTCAGTTGCTTTGCTGCCCCGCAGCAGCTCTGCCCACAGGCACCGTGGCCGCGCCGGCCGCTCCATCTAGCGGCTATTGGGATGGAGGGAGGGAGGGAGAGACACAGAGGGCTCTGCCCAGGGGCACCCACCCTCGGAGGGGCAGCGGGGGAGCCCGGCACCCTGTGCCCACACCAATACCTGAAGGTAACGTGGTACTGGTAGACGGCTTCGTTCTGGCAGTGGATTTTAACTGAGTTCAGCCCCAGGGGTAAGGTGGTTCCCTTCGCCACCGGCTTTGTCCCCGGTGCCCTAGGAGAGAGGGGGAAGAGACAGGGTGGCCAGCCCCGCGCCCAGCGCG